CCTTCCTTCCTTCCTTCCTTCCTTCCTTCCTTCCTTCATTCATTCCAGGGCTATCTCCTTGTTGTTCTATAAATTAGCCAGCATTCCCCTGCCTCAAAACCTCTACACTTGCTATTCCTTGTACCTGGAATGCTCCAGATATCTGCATGGCATGTGCATGCTCTCCCTTCTTATTTATTCTTATTTATTATAACAAACTATACTGATGTTTTATCACTAAAATAATGTTGATTATTGGTAAACTTTCTTGATCATGCTTTAAAAAAAATCGTAAGATTTTTATTTTTTTAAGATTTTATTTATTTATTTGACAGACAGAGAACACAAGTAGGCAGAGAGGCAGGCAGAGGGAGAGAAGGGAGGAAGCAGGCTCCCCGCTGAGCAGAGAGCCCGATGCGGGGCTCGATCCCAGGACCCTGGGATCATGACCCGAGCCGAAGGCAGAGGCTTTAACCCACTGAGCCACCCAGGCACCCCGCCAAGATTTGTTTTTAAAGATTTATTAATTTATTTGAGAGAGAAAGAGAAAGCGAGCATGCATGAGCAGGGGGAGAGGTGGTAGGAGAGGAGAGAGAATCTCTATAGCAGACTCCCTGCCAAGCCAAGTGTGGCACCTGACTCGGCCCAATCCCAGGACCCTGAGATCATGACCTGAGTCGAAATCAAGAGTCGGCCACTTCACTGACTAAGTCACCCAGGCTTCCCAAGAGTACCAAGATTTTTTACTCTCAACCATTAAAATTCTCCTTACATTATACCTTATTTCCTTCCCATGAAGTCTTCTCTGCTGATTTAAAATTATAATCCAAATAATGATATGAACATTCTGAATTTTTAGGAGAGAAATCTAAAGTAACTGTGGAGAAGAAAAAAAAAGCGTGGATTTTTATGTAACAGTCTGTTCAATGTCAAATAAATTTTTAATGTTATATTTTACTTAGAATTTACTTACAGTCATTTTCAATTGAGTTCTTATTAGACTCAGCTCTCACTTGAAAATTATCTTCAATATGAAAGCCAATACCTCCTTTTGGAAAGTTTTCTTCATCTGGGAACTAGAAAACAGAGATCCATTCATCAGTTTATTTAGTAAAAAGATAAAGTGTGTGTGTACATATCTGTATCTTTATCTACCTCCCTATATGCGCGTGCATACTCACTCACACACACACACACACACACACATATAAGTCTGTGGTTATAACTTGAGACACAGAAGAACAGAAGCAGTACGTTATGAAGTCAATTCAGGGAAAGCAGAATACATTATATATCATCAATGCTTACATTCACATTTCTTATATCTTAACATCACTGAGATAAAGGATGCACCCCAACAGTGATGACCTTGTTACATCCCTATAGCACTGGCAATAGTCGTAACACTGCTGGCATTGCTGTGCAAGTGAAACCATATGCAAGTTAGTCATACTGTTCATACAATAATCACTTAAGCATGAGTTTGCATTAACATTACTTGTTATGTAATTTTGCCATTTAAACATCTTCAAAAGGATAACATTATCATTTGCCACTGAACAAAAAAGTATTGCATTCACAAAGGGCAAGGAGGCAAAGCAGTGTGATATATCATTAAAATATCTACACCCAAATAAATCCAAGACTTCTTAACAAGCAAAACATCAAAAATCTAAGTGGAAGTGAAAAAGTTCTAGAGATCTGCTTCACAACATTGTAAATACATTTCACATGACTTAACTGTACACATAAAAATAGGTAAGATTATAAATTTTATGATTTTTTTTTTACCATAATAAAAGTTTTTTAGTTTTTAAGTAGGCTCCATACCAAGCGCACAGCCCAACATGAAGCTCAAACTCACAACCCTGAGAGCAAGACCTGAGCTGAGATCAAGAGTTGGATGCTTAACCAACTGAGCCACCCAGGCACTCCACCACAATAAAAAAGTTTTTAATAAAAAAGTCAAAGTGATGAAGCACAGTATAATGTTAACTGCTCTTCTTTATTAGTGGTATATAATGGTGCTTTTATTTTTTCATTTTTTTTAAGATTTTTAATTTTTTTTTAAGATTTTTAAGATTTTATTTATTGGGGTGCCTGGGTGGCTCAGTTGGTTAAGTGGCTGCCTTCAGCTCAGGTTATGATCCCATGGGCCGGGGATCAAGCCCCGCATCGGGCTCTCTGCTCAGCGGGGAGTCTGCTTCTCCCTCTCCCTCTGCCTGCCTCTCTGCCTACTTGTACTCTCTGTCAAACAAATAAATAAAATCTTTAAAGGAAAAAAATATTTTATTTATTTGATACAGAGAGAGTGAGAGAGCACAAGTAGGGGGAGCAGCAGAGGGAGAAGAAGGCTCCCCACTGAGCAGGGAGATGAGGGATTTGATCCCAGGATTCTGGGATTATGATCTGAGCTGAAGCCAGATGCTTAACTGACTGAGCCACCCAGGTACCCCATAATGGTGCTTCTTTTAATCAGTGATAGTACCTGGGAATTTGATGAAATACAGAATATTTTTTGAGGTTTAGAGACTACTATATGCAATCTGCCACACTTAGGTAGACCTGGTCATTTTGCCTTAAAATATATCTTATAGGGGTGCCTGGGTGGCTCAGTGGGTTAAGCCTCTGCCTTCAGCTCGGTCATGGTCTCAGGGTCCTGGGATGGAGCCCCGCACTGGACTCTCTGCTTGATGGGTAGCCTGTTCCCTGTCTCTCTCTGCCTGCCTCTCTGCCTGCTGTGCTCTCTCTCTCTCTCTCTCTGTCAAATAAATAGATAAAATCTTTGGAAAAAAAATATTAATCTCTTGACCAGACACTGTTTTGAATATATGCATATCATTCTCTTATGCACTCTATTTGATAGCAATTGAGAGGTGCTTAGTGTCATACTTTAGAGAAGTGGGGGTAAGGATAACTTTTATTTGTTCAAAGATTTAAATATTTCTTCATAAAATTTAGTATTGATATAAAGACAATGATTTGGCAAGGTGCAACTATATAAAATATTTTTACCTGCAAGAAATCAATCTGCATACAAGCACTAGTCAATTTTGGTGTCAATAAACAAGTGTCTGTCCTGTAGTTTTCATACTCAATACTATCTGGAAACTGACCGCATTCTAGCTGTGAGCTGTGTCCTCTGACCATCAGAGCACTAGTAGCTGATCCTTTCACTTGGTGCCCTTGAAACTCAACAGGCTACAAATAAATTATTAAAAATGAGTATTGCAATAAGTACATATTGATATACAGTCACAATGTATATATACACAGGAAATAAATCACAAGTTAGCTTTCGTATTAAATATTAATGTAAATAATTATTAAGTGAATAATACTGAAAAACCAGAAAAACTCCTATTATCCTAACACATGCTAATTGTAAAACATAATTTGGTTATTGATTTAATTGAATTCAAGTTCAACATTAATAAATATGAATTTTTTATAAGGAGCACAAAAACTATAGTTATAACGGACTAATTAAACCAGAAAAATAGAGTTGCTCCTTTCTCTGTGCGTCCCATGTACATTATACAACTTTCCATTATAGACTTACCACATTATACTATAATGAAGTTTCTTTTCATCTATATCCTAACTGTACTATAAACTTCTTGAGGGGAGAGACCTGTTGGTTTCATCAGGGTACCACGTGCATTTAACACCATGCTTGGCATATTGGAAGCAGTCAATAAACATGTAATAGGAAGTAAGGAAAGAAATACAGAAAGCATTTTCCTTTGTTCAGGCATTTTGTAAACTATCAGGCTTCCCAGAAGAGGGATGGTGGGCTCTCTGCCTCCCAGAAGATCTGATCCTATTGCTCTGAGAACAAAGTCCTAAGAATATGATGCCAATACAGGCGTGTACTTCAGAGAGGTACTGTCATGTCCTCAGAGACCTGATCTGCTCTCAGTCTTCAAATAGCTTTCTCTACTGCCCCCTTGAGGGGTTCTAGGATTTTTATTCCTCACTGGGTGACAAATCTACCCAGAAAAGTGGAAAATTAAGATTGCTTAGAGCACCTGGGTGGCTCAGTGGGTTGAGCCTCTGCCTTCAGCTCAGGTCATGATCCCAGGGTCTTGGGATCGAGGCCCACATCAGGCTCTCTGCTCCGTGGGGAGCCTGCTTCTCCCTGTTTCTCTGCCTGTTGCTCTGCCTACTTGTGATCTCTCTGTCAAATAAATAAATAAAATCTTTAAGAAAAAATTAAGATTGCTAATACAACCAAAGAAATGTACATAAAGGATGAATTTATTTCTAACTGATAAATTAACAAAATTATGATGGTAAATAATCCGAATATTCACTTATTTAAAAATGAAGATTCTAAATCACACATTTGAAAGGAAAATCAAATCTAAATATCCCTTATACAGAACTTTTGTTGAAAATATTCTAAATTTTAAAACATACACAGTTCAACTAAAAAAGTCTCACCTGTTAGACTCTGTATATTTCTAATTTGTTTGATGGAGAATACACATTCTCCACAAGCAAAAGACACCTTATTCTCTATGCTTCTATGTAGATCGCCTTTAAAGGTCTGTTGGGTATTAGGAATAGAATCAGTATTTATAAAGTCCAAGTATTTATATGCTACTTTCTCTACAAATTTTTGATATGGAGTAGATGGCACTAGATAGAACTTGGGTTATATATACTTTTACAGAAGTAGGAGTGGTAAAGTAGCCTATACGTTGAAGGCTATAAAGATCTTCATTTTGTTCTCTGCAAAACATTCATTATTTACAGCTTATTTATCTTCCAATTTCTAGGGTATGCATCATATATATGCATGACGCATTATTAGTTCACTAGTAAAGAGAAAGGGCTCAAGTCAAACAAGGGGTACCAGTCATTAGTTTTTCTTGTTCCTAAAATCAGGTTAATTCATTATGCTCATTAACTTTCTGCCTATGAAAACTGAGAGTGGTATAAAAACAGCAGGAAAAGGCAGTGGATTAGAAAATCAAAGTTGTTCACAAATTTTACCTTAGGGTCACAGGCTTTTCTCTCTAATTCTTTAGGGATAACATCTAGAAAAGCAGTCTCTTCATCTCCCAAGGAAAAGATCTAGAATAAAATATCAGTAAGTGTGTTAGCTAGTAGAGTTTTGTAGGCCGCTCATGAGTTTTATTGGAAAATACTCCCAAAACTTAAAGCTTGCCATTTGAAAGTACACTTGCCATTTCAATCTTACTTCTGTACATACAAACATATAACAAGCTACCTCTGGCAAGCGAGTCCTCCAGCAGGTAAGGTACTATGCTAATTAATTTTAAAACTCAGCAATAAAAAATTCTAATCCTAATTTTTTTTTAATTTATTTATTTTGAGGGGAGCCTGGGTGGCTCAGTCAGTTAAGCGTCTGTCTTCGGCTCAGTTCACAAGCCCCGTGTCCGGCTCTTTGCTCACTGGGGAGCCTGCTTCTCCTTCTCCCTCTGCCTGCTGCTCCCCCTGCTTGTGCGCTCTCTCTCTCTCTCTTTCTCTCTCCGTCAAATAAATAAATAAAATCTTTCTAAATTTACTTATTTGGAGAGAGAGAGGGAACACACGTGCACACAAGAGGAAGGGGCAGAAGGAAAGAGAGAATCATTTTTAAGATTTTATTTATTTGAGCATTGTATTATTGTGCGCTTGTGCATACGAGTGGTGGGAGGGGCAGAGGGAGAGGAACAGGCAGAATCCCCACTGAGCAGGGAGCCCGCTCTGGGGCCTGAGATGGTGACCTGAGCTGAAGGCCGACACTTAACCAACTGAACCACTCAGGAGCCCATAGTTGAATATTTTAACACTAGAAAAAATTGTTGCGTACCTAATAATCACCCATCTAACCTAATACTTAATGTTAATGCAGATTATTTAATTCAAAAATTAGTTTGAAACCAAAAGAGGAAAAATTGTAAAAAGCGTTATCAATTTAAAGAATGAATCAGGGGCACATGGGTGGCTCAGCTAGTTAAGCATCTGCCTTCAGCTCAGGTCATGATCCCAGGGTCCTGGGATTGAGCCCCACATCAGGCTCTCTAGTCAGCAGGGAGTCTGCTTCTCCCTCTGTCCCTCACCCCGCTCATGTTCTCTCTCTCTCTCTTTCTCAAATAAATAAATAAAATAAAATAAAATTAAAAAATGAAATCTGAGCACCTGGCTGGCTCAGCCAGTAGAGCATGTGACTCTCTTTTTTTTTTTTTAGATTTATTTATTTTAGAGAGAGCGCAAAAGCGAAGGGAGGGGCAGGAGGAGGAAAGAGAGAATCCTTAAGCAGGCTCCCCACTGAGCATGGAGCCCGACACAGAGTTTGATCAGAGTACCCTGGGATCACAACCTAAACCAAAATCCAGAGTCTGCCATTTAAATGACTGGCACCCAGGTGCTCCAGTAGAGCATGTGACTCTTAATCTCAGGATCGTGAGTTCAAGCCCACTTTGGGCATGAAGCCTACATTAAAAATAAGATAAAAAGATAGACCATTTCCTAGCAACCATAAAAACACAAGATACAGACAAGAGCAACTAGTCATTTTTAGTTCATCAAGCAACTATACAATCATAATTTCTACTGTGAATTAGATTTTGAAAAGGAATTTAGCAGAAATAATTTTTATGTTTAAAAAATATAGAGAAAACAATTCCTCAATAGACAAGAGGTAGTGCATTTCTTCAAATAATAGTTACCTTCCATTAATAACATAATATATTTAGCACATCTGTCAACCAAGTAGTTCTTGAAAACATTCAACTCATATTTTAGAATTAGAATTTTCAAATACAGTGAGTTTAAAAAACAAATTAGCATAGCACCCTCTCTTCTGTTGCTATTTGTAGCCAATTATAGAAATTAAATTAGCAGAAATAAAATAGCAGTGCCATTAAGTATATTCTTAAAGAGTACCCTAACTTTAAATTTTGAAAGTTTTTCTTCTTCTTTTTTTTTTTTTTAAAGATTTTATTTATTTGACAGAGAGAGAGATCACAAGTAGGCAGAGAGGCAGGCAAAGAGATGGGGGAAGCAGGCTTACTACTGAGCAGAGAGCCAGATGCGGGGCTTGATCCCTGGACCCTGGGATCATGACCTGAGCCAAAGGCAGAGGCTTAACCCACTAAGCCACTAAGATGCCCGCTGAAAGTTTTTCTATCACTAATGAACATGAAGAGGTTGCTTCAGAAAGTTATAGTATGAAAGGTATTACAAAAATGCAAATATACTCCTGTATTAATGCTAAAAAGATTGAAATAAAATTTTTTTACAAAAGATTATAAGACCTTTTTCATTCCTATGAGATTACAACAGATTTTTTTAAATATATGATACTTATTTTAAATGGCAACTCGGGGCGCCAGGGTGGCTCAGTGGGTTGGGCCCCTGCCTTCGGCTCAGGTCATGATCCCAGCGTTCTGGGATCGAGCCCCGCATCGGGCTCTCTGCTCAGCAGGGAGCCTGCTTCCTCCTCTCTCTCTGCCTGCCTCTCTGCCTACTTGTGATCTCTATCAAATAAATAAATAAAATCTTTAAATAAAAAAATAAATAAATAAATGGCAACTCATAGGGATGCTGGGGTGGCTCAGTTGGCTAAGTGTTTGCCTTCAGCTGAGGTCATGATCCCAGGGTCCTGGGATCAATCCCCAAGTCAGTCTCCCTGATCAATGGGGAGTCTGCTTCTGCTTCTGCTGCTCCCCCTGCTCATGCTCCCACTCTCTTCCTCTCTAATAAATAACATCTTTAAAAAATAAAAATAAATAGCAACTCATTGTGGAGAATGACAGTGTTATTTGCAGTTTATATTTTGTGATAACTATCCTTGAAAAGGTTTAAACCCTATTTTTTCAAGTGAAGAAAAGAATTAAGAATGTGATCATTTCTAAGCTAAATAATGTGGTTGTTCATTATTATTTTATACATTTGATTTTATTATATAAGGATAAAAAATGAGCCACCCCTATATGAATTTTATTTGTTTTGCTTTGTTTTCTTTAAGGCAACAGAGTTGCAGGTACAGCTATAATTGTCAATGACAATTCTTGGATTAAGTAATGATTACAAGTTTACAAACTTATTTGTGGAAGTGCCTGGGTGGCTCAGTGGGTTAAGCCTCTGCCTTCAGCTCAGGTCATGATCTCCGGGTCCTGGGATTGAGCCCCGCATCAGGCTCCCTGCTCAGGAGCCTGCTCTCCCCTCCGCCCCCCCACCTGCCTCTCTGCCTACTTGTGATCTCTCTCTGTCAAATAAATAAATAAATTCTTAAAAAAAAAAACTTATTTGTGATAACAGATTTGTTACTTAACCAAATCCTACTGACCACACCAGGATATTTGTACAAGACAGTAGGCTCATCTAAATAAGTTTACAAATGATATTGAAAACTGACAGGGGCGCCTGGGTGGCTCAGTGGGTTAAAGGCTCTGCCTTCGGCTCAGGTCAGGTCATGATCCCAGGGTCCTGGGATCAAGCCCCGCATCGGGCTCTCTGCTCAGCAGGGAGCCTGCTTCCCTCCTCTCTCTCTGCCTGCTTCTCTGCCTACTTGTGATCTCTGTCAAATAAATAAATAAAATCTTAAAAAAAAAAAACTGACAATATAAAATTATATGCCATATCTATATATATAACTATAAATTCTGGCTACTTTATATTTTAAAAATTAAAATTTTTTAATTTTTAAAGTGGTTCACTTGGTTCAACTTCATTTTCTTTTATGAAGTGGTTCACTTGGTTCAACTTCATTTTCTTTTATGATCTTAGAAACAAAATATAAACAGAATAACTAAAAGGTACAGTAAGTTATAAAATAAAATGTAAATTTCTATTAGACATAAAAAAATAGAAGAACAAAAAAAGAATAAAAATTAAAAAATAAAAAAAGAAAAGAACACTATCACTAATAATCAAAGGAACAAAAACTATATATTAATTAAATATTATTCTGACTTAGCAAGAACTGAAAATATCTTTTTTTTTTTTTAAGTTTTATTAGGGCACCTGGGTGGCTCAAATGATGAAGCATCTGCCTTTGGCTGGGATCATGATCCCAGGGTCCTGGGATGGAGCCCCAAGTTGGGCTCCTGGCTCAGCAGGGAGTCTGCTTCTCCCATTCCCTCTGCCTCTGCTTCTCCCCCTGCTCATGCTCTCTCTCTCTCTCTCTCTCTCTCTCTCTCAAATGAATAAATAAAATCTTAAAAAAAGATTTACTTATTTATTAGAGAGGAAGAGAGAGTGCGAAACTGAGGGGAAGGGAAGAGGAAAAGAGAGAGAATCTCAAACAGCTCTCACACAGAGCAGAGCCCAATGCTGGACTTGACCCCACGATCCCAAGATCACAACCCAAGCCGAAATCAAGAGTTGGATGTCCAAGCAACCAAGCCACCTACATGTCCAAGCATTGAAAATATCTTAGTACTGGTGAATGTGAAGTAAAATAAATATTCATACTACAAAAGAGGAAGATTTTTAGATTTGACACTATAAATCAAGAAAATTGTTCTTAGGGGCACCTGGATGGCCCAGCGGGTTAAGCCTCTGCCTTCGGCTCAGGTCATGATCTTAGGGTCCTGGGATCGAGACCTGCATCAGGCTCTCTGCTCAGCAGGGTGCCTTTTTCCCCCTTCTCTCTGTGCCTGCCTCTCTGCCTACTTGTGATCTCTCTCTGTCAAATAAATAAATCTTAAAAGAAAAAAGAAAAAAGAAAATTTTTCTTAGCCTTTCAAGTTATCATCAATTCCACATGTGGGACTCAAATCTAAGGAAATAACTCAAAATGTAAACAACAATTTATGTGCAAAAACATTTGCTGAAGTTTTATTTATCCTAGCAAAATGCTAGAAATAATTTAAATCTTCAAAATAGGGCACTGCTTATCCAAAGCACAGACTATCCACAGGATGGGATGGTAAGTAACCTCTAAAAGATATTAAACTTCTGGTCTGTGGTTGAGTGGCTAATGTGGTCTCTGTTCTGCAGGATGGCGTTTGTTAAAGTTGTCAAGAATAAGTCTTACTTTAAGAGATACCAAGTGAAATTTCGAAGACGACGAGAGGATAAAACTGATTATTATGCTCAGAAACACTTGGTAATTCAGGATAAAAATAAACACAACACACCTCACTACAGGATGAAAATCTGTGTAACCAAAAGAGATCTCATTTGTCAGATTATTCACACCCACATAGAAGAAGATATGATAGTTGTGCAGTGTAAGCTCATGAACCCCAGAGTATGGTGTGAAGGTTGGCCTGACAAATTATGCCGCAGCATATTACACCGGCCTGCTGTTGACCCACAGGCTTCTCAAGAGATTTGATGTGGACAAGATCTCTGAAGCCCAAGTGAAGGTGACAAACACTGATGGTCAACCTGGTACTTTCACCCGCTATCAGAATGCAGAGCTTGCCAGAACTACTCCTGAAAATGAAGTTTTGGGGCTCTCACAGGAGCTGTGAATGGAGGCTTGTCTATCTCTCACAGTACCAAATGATTTCCTAGTTATGATTCAGAAAGCAAGGAATTCAATGCAGAAGTACATCAGAAGCTCATCATGGGTCAGAACATTGCAGATGATATGCATTACTAATGGAAGAAGATGAAGATGCTTACAAGAAACAGCTCTCTCAATACAAAAACAACAATGTAACTCCAGACATGACGGAGATGCGTTAAGAAAGCTCATGCTGGTATATGAGACAATCCAGTCTAGAAGAAGCCTAAGAAAGAAGTTAAAAAGAAGAGGTGGAACCATCCCCAAATGTCCCTTGCCCAAGAAGAAAAACTGGGTAGCTCAGAGGAAGGCAAGCTTCCTTAGAGCTCAGGAGCAGACTGCTAAGAGCTAATAAACCAAATCACAATTTTCTGTGAAGATTTTTCAGATAAAGACAATAATAAGCTTACTCACCAAGCAGGTAAAAAATTAACTAAATAAATAAATAAGTAGAAGATATATTTAAGAGGTATCTTAATAAGGTGAGAAACATAAAATATTAAGGGGAAAAGACAGAAAACTGTTTACACACACCACAATCTAACCATATTTTTGAAAATGGGCCTAAAATGTTGTAAACATTAATAATAATTACCTATCAGTGATAGGGTGAGTTTTATTTTTCTTCATTTTTTCTGTATTTAAAAAAGGAGAAAAAAAACAGTAACATGGAAAATAGAGTAAGATACAAAATGGGGACAAAGGAAACATTTCACTTTCTTTTGTTTCAAACACGTCTTTTAGAAAGAGCAGTGCCATATAATGAATATCCCTCCAAATACGTTAAACATCCCCAAGAAGAAACACTAATTTAGAGGATTTATTCTAGAATATCAATGTATTCTAATTAGTACCATAATTTATATAGTATTACCATGGTTCCTAAATTGCTCAACAAGGTACTTTGGAGTACCACAGTGAACTCAACAGGGGCTGCACAAAATGTTTTAAATTTAAGGGACGGGGTGTCTGGATGGCTCAGTGGGTTGAGCATCCAACTCTTGGTTTTGACTCAGGTCATGATCTCAAGGTTCGGAGATTGAGCCCTTCAATGGGCTTTGCACTCAACAGAGTCTGCTTAAAAGATTCTCTCTCTCTCCCTCTCTTTCCCCCTCTGTTCTTCCCCTGGCTTGTGTGCATTTTCTTTCTCTCTCTCTCTCCCTTTGTTTCTCAAATAAATAAATAAAATCTTTTAAAAATTATAAAAATTGGGGTGCCTGGTGGCTCAGGTAGTTAAGGGTCTGCCTTCAGCTCAGGGCATGATCCCAGGGTCTTGCATCAAGCCCTGCTTCAGGCTCCCTGCTTAGCACAGAGTACGCTTCCTCTTCCTCTGCCCTCCACACCATTCATGCTCTCTCTTGGTCTCTCTAGCTCTGTCTCTCAAATGAAATCTTTTAAAAAATTATAAAAATTTTAAAATTTAAATAAATTTAAAGGGAAATACAGTTAACACTTGGCATCTGTTGATCACTGAATGAACGGTTAACTCAAGGTAGTTCAGTTCAACATCAGATCTTACGCCATCTCTTTCAATGACATTTTATCTTTGTAAAGTTGAGTTTTCAGAAACTGCTATGATAAAAATCAATTACCATGAAAAAATCAATGTGAACAAGAAAACTAATCTATTCTAAGGTTTGAGAAGTTGTGCAATGCCCAACAAGTGCATACATTCCATTAGCAATTGTGTTTATTTAAAAGTAAAATGCTTACCTTGGGCTCTGTGCAGGGTGGAGCCCACTTTAAAAAAAAAAAAAAAAAAAAGCGGAATGAGGGACTGCCCCTGGGTGGCTCAGTCAATTAAGTACCAACACTTGATCTCAGCTCAGCTCTTGACCTCAGCTCAGGTCTTGACCTCAGGGTCATGAGCTCAAACCCCACACTGGGTTCTGAGCTGGGTGAAGAGCCTACTTAAAAAGTAAAATAAAATAAGATAAAATAAAGGGCTTACAGTAATCATATATATTCACAATATATACATATGCTAAATCATTATGTTGTACACCTTAAACCGATACAACATTATATGTCAACAATACCAATTAAACGGGAAAAAAATAAAAATAAAAAGCTTACTAAATTAGTAGGACATAATACTTACTTACTAAGTTGTTTAATACTACTCACTACTTAATAAATGGAACCGCTAAACTCTTTTCCCAAGGATATAATGAAAATAATCACTGAGATACAAGTTGGGGGCGGGCATGAGATAAAATATCTTGGGACCCTATATATTACTGCAGTCTCATCATAAAGAACAGTACAGAACATTCTATATCAAAATAAAAGTATATAGGGAAAAAATGTACCTGTTGAGGATCCTGGTTCCGATGAGGCAACTTTGGTAAAGCTTGTAAAACTCCTGCAGTCAATGGTTTCCTAACTATAACACATAAAATAAAATGATTTTATTCATCTCATATATAGTGTTTTAAACTTTTTAAAAACTTATTTCTAGGGGAGACTGGCTGGCTCAGTCAGTGTAGCATGTGACTGATCTCAGGGTTGTAGGTTTAAGCCCCACACTGGGTACAGAGGTTACTTAAAAATAACAAAATCTTAAAAAAAAAAAAAACAGTGGCTCAGTCATTGGGCATCTGCCTTTGGCTGAGGTCATGATCACAGCGTCCTGGGATCAAGCCCCACATTAGGCTTCCTGCTCAGCAGGAAGCCTGCTTTTCCTTTCCAAGTCCTCCTGCCTGTGTTCCCTCTTTCGCTGTGTCTCTCTGTCAAATAAATAAATAAAATCTTTTTTAAAAAACAACCCTTACTTATAAAACTGAATGAAAGCAGGAATACAACTTAAACTTGAAGATGAGGTATTCTTGATAATTGTTGAATCTTGACTTTGGATATTTCAGGATTCACTGACTATTCTCTCTGTATATCTATGTAGTGTATGTGCAGTCAAACATTTTCAAGATAAAAATTCAAGAAAAAGGGCTGTCTGTGTGGCTCAGGCAGTTAAGCATTCACCTTTGACTCAGGTCATGATTGCAGGTCCTGGGGGGGGCGTTGAGCCTCAGCGGGTAGCCTGCTTCTCCTTCTCCCTCTGCCCCTCCCCCTGCTTGTGCTCTCTCTATGTCAAATTAACAAAATCTTTTTTAAAAATCTTAAAAAAAAAAAAAGTAAGAAATAAGAAAATGTTGATTTTTTTTAAATTCAAGAAAGAAAATTTTCTGGTTACTTAATAGTAGAAATGCTTCCTTTTTTCTTTTTTCAAATTAATTGAAAAATACCAATGCAATAGCCAATAACCTGTACTAAAAAATGCTAAAAATGAAATATTAACTGTTAGAATAAAGCCAAGACCATTACACTGCTGCTATGTGCAAACATAGATGAGAAAAAAGCACTTAATGCTATTTCTGAGTCTATCTTAAATGCATTTGACTTTGGTTTGAGAAAAAAACCTTCAATTATCTTCTAAGTACATTGTGCCAGGCACTGGGGAAACAGTAGTTTCTTAAAAAAGGAAGGCCACAGAAGATTAAAAAAAAAAAAAAGATAAATTCAGATTATGATACAAAAGGGCTTCATAACAAAGGTTGATATGACAGAGAATAATGTTAGATAGGATGATTGGAAAGATCTCTCACGTGAAGTGACATCTAAATTGAGATCTGAATACACGAAAATAGCTGGTAGCTATGCCAGAGGTAAAGATGTTCAGACAAAAGTCCTAACACATATAAAGAGTCTCCTGCCAACAGGAGAGTTGTCAAGTCTGCAGAATAGAAAAGAGGAGAAGATGGCCAGGCCATACCACCTGAGTATCTGTTTAAAAATAGGATTTTTTTTTCCTTAAAGAAAAAGCTACATATTCAATCATTTCAATTTCTTCTAAAGTCTCCAAGAAGACTATAATTTTAAAGTGATTATTAGAAAGAAAGATTGAGGGGCGCCTGGGTGGCTCAGTGGTTTAAGCCTCTGCCTTCAGCTCAGGTCATGATCTCAGGGTCCTGGGATTGAGCCCCACATCAGGCTCTCTGCTCAGTGGGGAGCCTGCTTCTCCCTCTCTCTCTGCCTGCCTCTCTGCCTACTTGTGATCTGTCTCTCTCTGTGTCAAAGAAATAAATAAAATCTTTAAAAAAAAAAAAGAAAGAAAGAAAGATTGACTATTATTGTAAAAAAGATAATCAGAGGCACTTGGCTGGCTCAGTAGGGGGAGCATGCAACTTTTTTTTTTTTTAAAGATTTTATTTGACAGAAACACAGCGAGAGAGGGAACACGAGCAAGGGCATTGTGAGAGGGATAAGCAGGTTTCCTGCTGAGCAGGGAGCCCAATGCGGGCCTGGATCCCAGGACCCTGGGACCAAGACCTGAGCAGAAGGCAGATGCCCAAAGGCTGAGCCACCCAGGTTCCCTGAGCATACAACTCTTAATCTCAGGGTCACGAGTTCAAGCTTCTTGTTGGGTGTAGAGATTATTTAAATAAAAAAACTTTACTATAAAAAAAATTATAGCTAAATCTAGTGTAAACTTCATTTTTAGTCAATTGTTATTTCTGGTTTCATTATTTTCCTGTTAAAATTCAGAATTAAATGAAATTAAAGTAAGTGGATTTTGGAACCTGATGCTATTTCTAAAACAGGCTTTAAAAAGGCATTTGGGGGGTGCCTGGGTGGCTCAGCAGGTTAAAGCCTCTGCCTTCAACTCAGGTCATGATCCCAGGGCCCTCATCGGTCTCTCTGCTCAGTGGGGAGCCTGCTTCCCTTCTTCTCTCTCTGCCTGCCTCTCTGCCTGCTTGTGATCCCTGTCAAATAAATAAAATCTTTAAAAAAATAAATAAAAATAAAAAAATAAAAAGGCATTTGGGGGTGCCTGGGTGGCTCAGTCGTTAAGCATCTGCCTTCAGCTCATGTCACGATCCCAGGGTCCTGGGATTGAGCCCCCAGCACATGGGGTTCCCCACTCTGCGGGAGGCCTGCTTCTCTCCCTCCCACTCCCCCTGCTTGTATTCCCTCTCTCACTGTCTCTGTCAAATAAATAAATAAAATCCTAAAATAAATAAATAAATAAATAAAAAGGCACTTGGTGAAAATTGATGTGTTTTCCTTTACTGCATTCACTCAAGAATAAAACTCTAAATGAACATTTCTAAGATATATTCAGTCATCCCACAAAAACTTCAATCTACGGGAAAAAAATCATAACACTTTCACATATCCTAAATTGGTGGTAAAACCAATTCTTACTCCATGAAGTCAATTGTTATATTCCAATAAATAGATTCAAGTTTCTCAGTGTCTCAAGAAAACCAGCTTATTCCTTTCCAGAGAAATCTATTATATCAGAAAATAAATAGTCAATCCTCATTACTCAGATCCTACCTACTTACTAAAATTTATTTGGAACCCTGAAATCAGTACCCTGTGTTTTTGAGGTTATTTGTGGACATCCAGAGCTACAAAAAATGAGTTGCCTGACATACATTCCCAGCTGAGGTAGAACAAGGTGATACTCTGCCTCCTTGAGCTCTCACACTATGAACAAGTATCCTTTTTGTGGTCTATTTAGTACATTTTTTACACTTTGGGGCTTCTTGTAAGTGACTTTGCTATTTCAAATGTTCCCTAAGCATACTGTCTAGTGTTTCTAAGTGCAAGAAGGCTGTGATGTCCTTTACGGAGAAAACGTGTGTTAAGTGAAGTTTTTTCCAGGAATCACTCATTGCGTAGTTCACCATGAGTTCAATGTTAACAGATCAACATTAATTAATGCCTTTAAATAGAAACACTCATAAAAACAAGATTTTGATCAATTGATAAAAATGTTCTGACCAGAGGTTTGATGAAAAATACCCCTAAAAACAATGACTCATTTTTCACTAATTCAGTGTTTGTGTTGATTCAATATTTTATTTATTTGATAGAGAGATGGAGCACAAGCAGATGCAATAGCAGGCAGAAGGAGAAGAAGCAGGCTCCCCACTGAGCAAGGAACACAATGTGGGGCTTGATTCCAAAACCCTGGAATCATGACCTAAGCCAAAGGCAGTTGCCTAACCAGCTGAGCAACCCAGGTGCCCTGTGTTTGTACTGATTCAATAGAACATAACTATTGCAAATAATGAGACTCAACCATAATCCTCTTTCCAACTTGATGAGAAAAAAGATTTCCTAAAACTAAATTCTATAATTCCTATATCTTCAATAATAGGAATCTATATCCTTATATATTACATAATTTTATCTGCCCCTACTTATTTTTCATGAAAATTTTTTTCCTTTTTAATTTTTTAGAAAATAAACTATCAATTGCCATTAAACTTATCTTTCTCTGGAATCCCTTGAGATATTTAAATAAGAATTCAATTTTTAAAAAAAAGAATTCAGTTTTAACTTTTGAGTATCTCCAAGTACATTGTTCATTCACATTTATATGTGTCTAATATCGATATTTACTAATATGTTCTATATTGGTTTTCTTTTTTAAAAAACGCTATTGGCAACATACCATAAGCAAAGTCAAAAGACCAGTGACATACAAAATAGAGTATCTGCAACACACATCACCAATAAGGGGTTACTATCCCCAATATATTAAGAAAAAAAACTCTTAAAAATTAATGAGAATAAAAATACCAACAGCCATTAAACATCTGGACAAAAAGGTAAGACAGTTCATGAAAAAAGATGTACAAATGTTGCTTAAACATATGAAAAGATGTTAAATTTCACTTGTAGTTAAGAGAAATACAAATTTAAATACACTGAAATGCCATTTCTCATTTATCAGATTAGCAAAAATTCCAAAGCTTGGCAACACACTGGCAAGACTGTGGAGAAACAAGCACTCTCATATATTACTGGTGGGGATAAGACATGGAGGGAATTTTGAAGTTTCTAATAAAGTCACACATTTACCCAGCAACCCTGCTGCTAGGAATTTGTCCTGAAGACCCACCTCAAACAATATGCATACACACACACACACACACACACACACACACGGAGAGCTACTTAATATCACATCATTTGTAATAGCAAAGTATTGAAGACAGGTTGCATAATGATGGTTCATCCACACAGTGGAATATTACACAGATATAAACAAAAATGAGGATGTGTCCTATGAATTGATATGAAGCAAACTTCAGGATATATTAAGTGAAAAGAAGGTGCTAAAGAATATATAGAGTATACTATCTTTTGTTGAATAGGGAGGGAACAAGAATGTAAATACGGAGTATTTCTTTTTGCAAAAAGAAACACAGGTATGACATATTGGCTCTGTCTAGCAGGTAGGTAAGAACAGGATGAAAGGCACAAGGAAGGCGTATGAGTTTATGTTTTTATACAGCTTTGATTCCTGAACTAGATTAATATTTTACATAATCAGAAATAAAAATTAATCAACAAGGATGGGCAAAAAAGTCCTCATACTGAATATAAACAGTGAATTTAACTATATTTACATCAAATTATAACATAACCACACTAAAGAGAATAACCCAAGTAACTTTTTAAAGATATTTATTTGAGAGAGAGAGTGCACCTGCATATGTACATGAGCAGGGGAGGGGCAGAGAAGGAACCTCAGACTCCCCACCAAGCACAGAACTGCATGTGAGGCTCAATTCCACCACCCTCAGAGCATGATCTGAGTCGAAACCAAGAGCTGGATGCTCAACCAACTGAGCCACCCAGATGTCCCACCCAAGTAACTTTTGAACTTAATACTCTATGTATTTTCAGTAGGATATATTGCAAAAACAAACCAAAAGAGGGGTGCCTGGGTACCTCAGTTAGGCATCTGCCTTCAGCTCAGGTCATGATCTTGGGATCCTGGGATGGGGCCCCACACTGGGCTTCATGCTCAGTTGGGAGTCTGCTTCTCACTCTCCCTTCCCCACCATTCAGGCTCTTTCTTACTCTCTCTCAAATAAAATCTTAAAAAAGGAAAAAAAAAAAAGGGATTTTTGAACTTTACACATGTGTAAAGGTTTTTTGTTAGTAGTAATACTAAGTGTAAAAATTTGGAAGCCATTTGATTTGTAATATAGAATTAAGGAAGTAAACATACTAATGTTGTTGGGAACCAGGGCCCTTTCTCATTTTGGTAGTAAAGAAATACAATCGTGAAATTGAGGAAGACAGGAAGAACCCAGTGGTTAAGAACTGGAATTAGAGAGATCAATATGAACTAATGATTATTTTTTAAAAAGTATCTCCTAACACCTGTTCAAAAATGTCTGATGGGGGGGCACCTGGGTGGCTCAGTGGGTTAAACCCTCTGCCTTCGGCTCAGGTCATGATCCCGTAGTCCTGGAATCGAGCCCCACATTGGGCTCTCTGCTCAGCGAGGAGCCTGCTTCCCACCCACCCATCTGCCTCTCTGCCTACTTGTGATCTCTGTCAAATAAATAAATAAAATCTTTTAAAAAAATGTATGATAGGAATGGATATTTACATACATACTTGCTTATATGTGCCTATATATGCTTATTTCCAGAAGGATACCCTGGAAGGAAACTAGCTAATTCTTAGGAGTGGACTGAGGGACTATACTAGAAAGGTGATTTACTTTTCACCATTTTATCCTCTATTAGAATTGATTTTACCAAGTACACATATTGCCTATTTAAATTTACCAAGTACACATATTGCCAATATGTCATACCTGTGTTTCTTTTTGCAACTATCTAATTCTTAGGCACCTGGGTGGCTCAGTAGGCGAAACATCTTTGGTTCAAGTCATGACCTCAGGGTCATGAGATCAAGCCCTGCGTCAGGCTCTGTGCTGGGCATGTAACCTGCTTAAGATTCTCTCTCTCCTTCTTCCTCTGCCCCTTCCCCTGCTCACACTCTTCCTCAGGCACACTCTTTTTCTCTTAAAAAAAAAAAAAAATTTACTATGTAATTCTTTAATGTAGCCTCCAAAGCAAATACTTTCCAACCTCTGAGCTATACAGAAAACAATCCAAAACGAACATGCCAATCTAACCTTCAGGATTGTTATCTGGCTCATCAGTCATCTTGCTCAGAGTTCCTTGTTGTTTAAAGGTAGTACTTTTCTTTTTCAATATTTCCAAGCCTTCTAAAGCCGTACTGTGTTCAGACAATGACTTTAAAATGGAAATGTTATTTACTAATCCAGAGAGTTCCGAAGGATTTCTAGGACTATTACAATATTGTTTGCTTTCTCCATCAGTTTCTACTTCAACATGGTCATGGTCTAAACTTCTAATCCTTCGCAAATCTTCAGATTCAGGAATATATGCTTCCGTGTCTTTTGAAATAGGATGCTTTTTTCCCAGAGGATAAAACAAAGAATTAGAAACTTGGGTACTTGATTTATCAAGAGCAACACATTCTTCAGAGTGATTATGATTAACATTTAATTCTTGGATACTGATGTCACTGCTCAACGTTGAGAGTAAAAGCCATTCATCATTTTTGTCTAAGTTACTTCCCATAATAAAAGGCTGAGGCTCAGCCTGTTCTGAGAATGGGCTGTTTTTAGGAGTCTGATCAGTGGCTATGTTCAAACAAGGAATATGTAAATTTGAGCTTATATCTTTAGATTTACTATGTAGTGAAGCAATATCATAGTTAATTCTGACTTTTTGAATACATTTATTAGCATTTTCATTATTATCTATAGATACATCATCAGTCCCCTCTAAAGATGAGTCAAAACTGCTTAATATATCACTACACTCTTCTATTTCTTTTCTAACGTTTCCAGTTTTCCAAGGTCCTCCGTCAACACCTACACAAGCTTTATCACAAAACTCTGACAGCAGAGTCTCTTTAATAGGAAATGTCTCTGTAGGTTTATCCCCAATTGATGTTAAAAGAGACAAATGTTCACTGCCAACTTTCTTACAGCTTGTATCTTCACATCTCTTCTGAACACTTGAACTGCTGTCATTAACCAAAGTTTCCTTTACCCAACCCTCTGAATACTGGGAAATTTTGTTGTCTTCCTGTGATTCCTCCTCAGTGTCACTGGTTTCAAAATTGTTCAGATTAAAACTCACCTCCACAAGTGGCTGTGTTACATTACTCACAGGTTCAGGAATACTGTCATGATTTCCATTATCAGTATTACTTTTAGAAAGCACGTTGGTAAAGTCATTAGAGATCCTAGAATTGCTAGCTATAGAACACTCAGTTTGCAGACGTTCAGATTCTGGCAGGAATGACATTGGCCGTTCATACTTCTTTACCTCCTGAGCATTTTCTCTACTGAGAGTTGATCCTTTTGAACACATCTTGTCATTTTGACTAATAGGTATTTTATTATTCTTTTTAATGTCATATTCTGATAATAAGCCATCATACCCCACACTGTTGCAAGTAACTGGTAAGCTGTTGCTTTTACAGAATGAAGGAATTTCCAATTTGACTTCCTGATCCAATGACTGATCACTATCATCTACTGGCTTGACTTCATTATACTTTTTACCCTTTTCAGCACATGTTTCAGAGACCTGTATCCTCTCTTGTGCCAAAAGGTCTTTAAAATCTAAATTTGTATTGTCTCCCTGGGCCTTCGGTTTCCTTTCTATATTATTTCCATCTTCAGCAGAAGAATGTACAGGTGAGCTCTGGGAGGATAAATACATGGCCCATCGGCTTTTATTTCTCATGGTATTTTCTGATTGATGCTGGTGGTGTAAACTGTCTGTGCTCTTCGGCTCAGCACACTCTTCTTGTTCAACTATGCACTTTGGTTTAATAGGGATGTTTACAGGTCCTTGTAGTTGTATCTGAGGAAGATGTTCTGTAGTCCCAGAATTTAGTTCTTCAAATGTACCAGTTGATTTGGACTTCAGAAGAGCTAATATCTGTGCTTTGCTTCTGATGTTTTGTGAAACTCCTAAACAGTGAGATGTCAAACCATCTTTTTTTAAGATCTCACTGGTCAGTGCAGAATCTGAATGCTTATTTACAGAATAGACAGGAGAGCAAAAATAATTTTCTTCACATTTCATTTCTGGGTTATTCTTGAAGGATGGAGTAGAGACAACCGAAGAAAAATGTAAGCCATTTGTCTCTCTGTTTTTGTAAGTGACACTGTTCTCAGGGTCTCTTGGCATATTATTTATATCTTTCTTGCCAGCAGTAGAAAACAAAGGAGGTGTGCTATAGAAGGGAGAAAGAAAAATAGGGCCAGGTTTCTTAGCCTCAAGTGACTCTGCGGATTCACCATTTTCTGTAATAATCATTTTCTTTGGCACTGGACGTGGTCCTCGAAAACCCTAAAAATATTAAAACAATTATTAGCTGTTCCGTTATCTATAAAGAAACTTTGAAATGGACTGGCTTTAAAAAAAGGGGGGGGGAGAAAAGGAAAGAAAAGAAAAAGGAATGTGTCTATTTTGCAAGGTAAAGTAATAAAGATATAAAATTTGCAAGATTAAAATGTAAATACTCATTTGTATTAAGATTTTTCTAATTAGGGTTTACTTCCTCACTACCTAAACATTTATTATGAAATACCATTTTAATGATAGAGTACAATAATGTCAAATTCACTACTTCTTGAAATAATATTAGAAATATATACTGATTTATTATTTCAACAGAGAAACTTACAGTAAACTTTCTTTTTAAACCAGCAGGCTGACATCCAAGGAACCGGCCAGAGGATATTAATCTCTTTGGATTTAACTCTGATGCTTCCTTAATGACATGCTGTTTAACAGCTATGTTTCCAGCAACTTTAACCTCCTCAACTGTGATTAAGTATCGATCACTTTCTAGGTCATCTCCAGGCTTCACCTAAATTTTAAAAGAATAAATTTTTAAAAATAAATTTAAAATCACATACATCTAATTATTTGTTCATGTGTTCTAGTAGGTCATTAGCACTAGCAAGACACAAAAGATAACAAACAGTTATTAAACGTATGAATCAATAGTTAAATCTTCATTTATTATTCTAGACTAGTTAACTATCAATAAGCACAAAAAAGGATGATAATAATATAGCAAAATTAGAGCTATCAGGTAGCCTGTGTGGCTCAGTCGGTTGAGTGTCTGCCTTTGACTCAGGTCATGATCCCAGGGTCCTAGAATGGAGCCCAACATCAGGGTCCCTTCCTTAGTGAGGAATCTGCATCTCCCTGTGCCTCGCCTCACTGCTCATGGTCTCTCTCTCTCCTGCTCACTCATTCTCTCTCTCTCAAATAAATAAAATCTTTTAAAAAAAATAAGATTATCAGCCTAGTTGGTGATACACAAAATCTGTGTATTATCACAGATAATATGCTTAGTCTTTCCTAATGAAATAATTTAAAATGAAATAATAACAACAGTAGTTAGACCCAATTAACCATCTACTAAGATAGTGCTTTTTATAGACTCTTTTGGTAAATATGGAAATACCACAACCACTATTAATGCCACAAAAATTTTTTTTAAAAATTTAACACCATGGCCAAAATCAACACAATGATAAGAATATCCACTTTAACACTTTTAGAATGACCATATTAAACTGCAGTTTACATAAATTATTTCTAATTTTTAGACCAACACAGTAAAGTCTATCTTATGGTCTATGTTTTACAGTACAGAATTTAGACACAAGAGAAGCTAGGTTAGCTAGGAAGCATCTAAAAGTGGGATATGAACCCAGAATGACCAAACTTTAATATCCTTATTCTTTACACTAAAATATGCCTTTAGTTCCTTTTCTTTCTCCAAAAGGAAAAACAGAATATTTGAGAAAATATTATATATAGGAATAATTTCTGAAAATAGTACCCATTATAATTCTCAGCCTATTGAGACCATGTAATACAATTAGGTTACAGAGTCAGTTTCTGGGGTCCAGATCCCAGCCCTACCACTGCAATTCTATGAATATGGGCAAGTAACTGAACCTTTCAGTATTGTACTCCTAATCTAAAAAAAAAAAAAATCACGAGTTGTCTAAAGATTAAATGAAACAGTATCTAAAAGTTTTTACCACAGAGGTGGCTAATAATAAATGTTAAAGAAGTACTAGCTATAATTAATACCATTAATACCATGACTATACTCTTTAACAATATTCATAAAGGAAGTAAAGATATTTTTTTAAGTTAAATACAGAGATTTAAGTAACTTAAAAATAATACCTCAAGGCACTTAAGAAATATACTCTCCAAACATTCTCCTTTGTCATCATATAAAATTGCCTATCAAAACAAAAATGTTAAAAAATATATAATTCTGCTTTTCTTAAACATCTTCAATAGCAAATCAAACATGGTTATATAAGTAAATCTTAAAATGAAAGAATTACCCTCTTTGTTTTGGATTAGAAAGTACATCTATTTCAAATATTTCCTAAGCAACTCTTCAGTCAGTGGAAGACAGCAAAGGTATATGCATCAGAAATTGATGAACTTAATCTCTACCAGGAGGATCCTGGAATGGAACTAGGGAGAAAACAGAATTGGAATGCCTGAGAGGGCAAAACAGGAAGCAAGATGAGTAAACGGGGTGCCTGAGTGGCTCAGCTGGTTAAGCATCTACCTTTGGCTCAGGTCATAATCCCAGGGCCCTGGCATGGAGCCCAGAGTTGGGCTCTCTGCTCAGCAGGGAGTCTGCTTCTCCCTCTGTGTGTGCGCACGTACTCTCTCTCTCTCTCTCTCAAATTAATAAATAAAATATTAAAAAAAAAAGATGTGGCATGGAGGATAAGGGGAGATGATCAATGCTTGAAATAAGTCATCGGCATTAGGATAAGAGACTTGTATAAAGCATAAGGAATAAAATTTGTTGAATGGAAGCTATAAGGGAGAAAAAGGAAGTTAAGGTAATTATAATTTTCTGGTTTTCTCCTTGTGTACTTAGCCATTTTTTATAGCAGTTTCTCCACTAGTCCCTTAAATATTGCTGTTTCCATCATTTCGAAGAATAGTTTGGCAGTTGCTTAAAAAGATAAAGAGAGAGATGCCATGTGATCCAGCAAGTCCACTCCACTCTACATACACAGAGAAATGAAAACCTACGTCTTCACAAAAACTTGCACACAAATGTTCATAGCAGCATTAGTCATAACAGCCAAAAAGAGGAAACAACTCAAATGTGTATCAATTGAAGAATGGATAAATAAAATGTGATATATCCACACAATAGACTATTACTGAGCAATAAAAGGAATAAAGTATTGAAGCATGCTTCAACACGGATGAACCTTGAAAACATGCTAAATGAAAGAAGTCATCCAATGAAAGACCACATATTGTACAATTCCATTCATGTGAGAAGTCCAGAATAGGCAAATCTATTGAGACAGTAAGTGGACTAGTAGTTGCTTAGGGCTGGGAGGTGGATACCAAGTCGTAACCATTACCAGGTATAGGATTTCTTTTGGGGGTTACAAATGTTCTAAAATTATGTTGTAGTAATGGTTGCAAAATTCTGTGAATATACAAAGAAAAAATGAACTGAATACTTTAAAGGGGTGAGCTGAAAACCATGTGAATTATATCTCAATATAGCTATTTAAAAGATTAGTGTTTACAAAGGCTCTATCTTTTCCCATCTATTCTTTATATTCTATATTCTCCATTTTTGTCTTTTGAGTAGGCTCCACACTAAGTGTGGAGCTCAAAGCAGGACTTAAACTCACAAACCTGAGAGTGAGACCTGAGGTAGGATCAAGAGTTGGATGCTTGATGGACTGAGCCACCCAGGCACCCCTCTATACTCCATTTTGAGTGATATCATCTACACAAACCAGACCATATCATACTTCTGTTCAAATCCTCCCAATGTCTCCACAGCTCCCAAAGAATAAGAACAAAAGCTCTTACAATGACCAATAAGGCCTACATAATCCCCCTGATCTCCATTTTCATCCTTGCTCACTCTACTCCTTGTTGTCTGCCTAACCCACTAGACAAACATACTCATTTAGTTTACTGGTTTGTAACCTCCATGATATTTCTATGAAGTCGAAATATTGGGGTTCACATGTTGTTTCCTCTGTATCCCCTAGAACAGTGTGTAACTCCTAACAGGTGTTCAAAAAACATCTGTTAAAGAAATAAATGTATGAATCCACTCCAGAAGCTTCAAATATCATCTAAATGCCACATACTCCCAAACAGTATTAGTAGCCCAAACTTTCCTGAATTCCAGGTCTCTGGAGCCAATTACTTAGATGTTCCAATTACACTGCAAATTCATTAAGTTAAAAATGGAACTCAAAATCTTAATGTTGGGGTGCCTGGGTACCTCATTTGGCTAGGAATCCAACTCCTCATTTTGGCTCAGGTCATGATCTCAAGGTCATGGGATCATGTCCTGAGTTGGACTCTGCCCTCAGGGCAAGGTCTGCCTCAGATTTTCTCTCTCCTGTCCCTTGCCTCATTTGCACGAGTGCATGCACTCTCTCTATATATACATGTATATATAATAAACAAATAAATCTTTTTTAAAAATCTTAGAAGGATTTAATTGGGAGGTTTTTGTTTGTTAGGGAAACTAAAATGCTAAAGAAAGAAACTTTGAGGCAGCTGTCTGGCTCAGTCAATACAACATGCAACTCTTGATCTTGGAGTTGTGAGTTCGAGCCCCAAGTTGGATGTAGAGATTATTTTAAAAGGAGGGGACAGGAGCATCTGGGTGGCTCAGTCTTTAAACATCTGCTTTTGGCTCAGGTCATGATCCTAGGGTCCTGAGATTGAGCTCCCCATCAGGCTCCCTGCTTGGTGGGAAGCCTGCTTTTCCCTCTCCCACTCCCCCACCTTGTGCTTCCTCTCTCGCTGTGTCTCTCTGTCAAATAAATAAAATCTTAAAAATAAATAAATAAAAGGAGGGGGCAGGGTAGCACCCAGCTGGTTTGGTAGGAGCATTTGACTCTTGATCTCAGGTTTGTCAGTTCAAGCCCCATATTGTGAATGAAGATTATTTAAAAATAAAATCTTTGAAAAAAAAAAAAAAATCAAATAGGGCGCCTGGGTTGCTCAGTGTGTTAAAGCCACTGCCTTCGGCTCAGGTCATGATCCCAGGGTCCTGGGATCGAGTCCCGCATTGGGCTCTCTGCTCAGCAGGGAGCCTACTTCCTCCTCTTTCTCTCTGCCTGCTGCTCTGCCTGCTTGTGATCTCTGTCAAATAAATAAATAAAATCCTTAAAAAAAAATCAAATAAATTTATAAATTTAAAATATTTAAAATTTTATGTTTGTTGATAGATGGATTATTAAAAGTATCTAGCTTGGGGAAACCGGATGGCTCGGTCAGTTGAACACCTGACTTTTGCTTTTGGCTCGGTTCATGATCTCAGGGTCGTGATATGGAGCCCTGCATCAAGCTCTGCACTGGGTGTGCAGCCTGCTTGGGATTCTCACTCCCTCTCCCTCTCCCTCTGATCCACTCATGCTCACACGCGCTCTCTCTCTCGCTCTCTCAAAAAAATAAATAAATAATAATAATAATAATAAAATAATTTTTTAAAAGTATCTAGCAGGGCACCTGGGTGGTTCAGTTGGCTATGTGTCTGCCTTCAGCTCAGGTCCTGATCCCAGGGTCTTGGGATTGAGTGCCATATTGGGCTCCCTGCTGAGCTGGGAGCCCACTTCTCCCTCTCCCTCTGCTCACCCCCAACTCATGCTCTCTCTCTTCCTCTGCAAGCTCACTCTCAAATAAATATTTTTTTAAAAAGAGTATTAGCTTGTTCAAGTTAAGCTGACTGAACACTAAGCCCACTGAAAGTTAAACTGAAGTTAATCGTATTTGTAAACTGAACTTGAAGTCTTAAAGCAAAACTAGTTTTTCTTTTTCTGTTTTAATTGTTAATTCACAAATAAGTAGCCTTTCTACATTGAAAAGCTCCTTCTATTGATAACTTCACACTGAAAGATACACGGAGTAAGAACAGAATATGGAATAAGTCCATCAGAGAAAGACAATTATCATATGATTTCACTCATGTGGAATTTAAGAAACAAAACACAGGATCACAGGGGAAGGGAGGCAAAAATAAAATAAGATGAAATCAGAGAGAGAGAGGCAAACTATAAGAGACATTTTTTTTGAAGATTTTATTTATTTAGGGGCTCCTAGGTGGCTCAGTGGGTGAAGCCTCTGCCTTGGGCTCAGGTCATGATCTCAGGATCCTGGGATCCAGCTCAGCAGGGAGTCTGCTTCCCCCCCACCCCGCCAGCCTCTCTGCCTATTTGTGATCTATGTCAAACAAATAAATAAAATCTTTAAAAAAAAAAAAAAAGATTTTATTTATTTATTTGACAGAGAGAATGAGAGCACAAGCAGGGGAAGCAGCAGAGGGAGAGGGAGAAGCAGACTTTATGCTGAGCGGAGAACCCGACATGGGGATTGATCCCAGGGTTCTGGGATCATGACCTGAGCTGAAGGCAGATGTTTAACCAACTAAGCCACCCAGGCGCCCCAAAAGACTCCTGACTATAGGAAACAAAAACTGAGGGCTGCTGGAGGGGAGGCAGGTGGGGGGATGGGGTAACTGGGTGACGGGCATTAAGGACGGCATGTGATGTAATAAGCACTGGGTGTTATATGTAACTGATGAATCACTGAACTCTATCTCTGAAACTAATAATACACTATGTTAATTAATTGAATTTAAATAAAATTTAATTTAAAAAAAAATTTATTTACTTATTTGTCCGAGATAGAGTGCAAGCATGAGCAGGGGTAAGGGCAGAGGCAAAGGGAGAAGCAGGCTTCCTGATGGGCAAGGAGCCCAACACCAGGCTTGATCCCAGGACACTGGGATCATGACCTAAGCCGAAGGCAAACACTTAACCTACTGAGCCACCCAGGAATACCTAAATAAAATAAAATTAAAAAAATATATATATATGGAGATCTATAACTGCTGAGGAGTAGGGCTAATAAAGTTGTTCTTTCAATTCTGTAGTATTAAGAGAAACTATAATAGACTGGTTAGGATATGGGCTCTGGAGCCAAAAAGGCTAGGGTCACATATGACTCCTCCACTCTCTAGCTGTGAGATCTGTGGACAAGCTACTTTATCTTTCTGTGTCTCAGTTTCAATCTCAGTAAAATATATACAAAAATAGTACTCTAAAAGTGGAGTTATGTAGACTAAGTTGACACATTTATAGCATGCCTGGCAGATGACAATTTAAGCTTTTTAAAAAAATTGATCTGGGGGAGAGTGGCACTGGGGGAGGGTTGCTAAATAGATGAAGGGAGTCAAAAGATACAAAACTCTAGTTATAAAATAAATAATGTATAGCATGATGACCATAATTAAAAATACTGTATTGCCTATTTTCTTAAAGATTTTACTTATTTATTTGACAGAGAGAGAGCATGTACAAGTAGGGGGAGCAGCAGGCAGAGGAAGATGGAGAAGTGGGCTCCCTACTGAGCAGGGAGCCCGATGTAGGACTTGATCCCAGGACCCTGGGATCATGACCCAAGCCAAAGGCAGCTGTTCAACTGACTGAGCAATCCAGGCGCCCCACTGCATTGCATATTTAAAAGCTGCTAAGAGTAAATCTTAGAAGTCCTTATTACAAAAAATGAAAGAAAAAAATATTGTTAACTATGTATGGTGACAGATGGTGACTACACCTACTGGGATCATTTTGCAATGTATACAAATATCAAGTCATTATGTTGTATACTTGAAACTAATATTATGTTAAATGTCAATTATACCTCAATAAAAATAATAAGCAAATGGAGCAGATTGCTCTTCCTAAGTGGGTGGGCCTTATCCAATCAGTGTAAGGACTGAGTAAGAGAAAACTCCTCCTGCCTGACTGTCCCTAAGCTGGGACATAAATATGCCTTTTGATTCAATCGGAAACACTGCCTCTTCCTGAGTCTCAAACCTCCCATCATTTATACTGAAACTACACAATTGGCTTTGTTGGGTCTCGATCTTACCAACCACAGATCTTGGCACTTGTTAGCCTCCACAATCACATGACCCAATTCCCTAGAATAAATTTTTTTCCCTCTCTCTTCACACACACACACACACACACACACACACACACACACACACATAGAAAGAGAGATTTGGGGATCTGAATGGCTCAGTGAGTTAAGCATTTGTGTTTGGCTCAGATCATGATCCGAGGTCCTGGGATAGACCAGGCTCCTGCTCAGTTGGGGGTCTGCTTCTCCCTCTCTGTCTACTCCCCAACCTCATGCTGTCTCTCACTCTCTCTCAAAAAAAAAATAAAATAAAATCTTTAAAAAGAAAAGATTAAAAAAGAAAGATTTACATTTCTTTATATATTTCTGTGTAAGTACATATATGGCTGAGTTCTAAAGAAAACTTCAAAGTTGGAGAAGAGAATGAGCCCACAGAAAATACTGAGATATCAGTAAGCAACCTCAGAAAAATGTGGTGTCACAGAAGTCAAACAAAGAATTGTTATGAAGCATGGAGCAGCCAAGAGTGTTGCACAAGGTCATAAGAACTAGTAAGAGAAAATTACAATTCGGCAGATGGAGATACTTGAGATGAGAAAAAAAGCACATAAAGAAGGATCGCCATATCTAGTAGAGTGAAAGATCACCCAGGTAAATAATTCTCTCAAGACTGATAGGATCATATCATAACCAAAGTAAGATTCAAAGAAAATGTGAAAATAGAAGAACTCTACAAAATTTTTGGAAATTGGCAACTTTCCTAAAACAGTGTGTCAAACTCTATATGTACCATCTCACTCTGAGCATTACAATGTTTGAAATATATTTTAAAAGGTTTTTTGTACCATTAAACTCTTATTTCCTACAAAGATAAAAATGTTTCAAAATACCTAAAAAGTTTTACAGAAAATCCATTTCAAATTTTAAAAATCAAAACAAAGTACATACTATTTACTGAACTTTTAAAATGTACAAATTAATCACCGTAATGTGGCAGTTATTTGACAACTTCTGTTTTCATATTATATCAGCTTATGGACATAGCCAACATTTTACCATCTACAGAGCCTTCTTAATATTCAATCAAAAGGCAAGAATCTAGCTTTTGAGTCAACTGCTTTGTACTTACTTTGTTTCCTAAGTGAGTGATCTTCAGAATTCCATCTTGCCATACTTTTGACTTCTTCATCTTTTGATGAGTATACAGTACCTTATTTCCAAAAGGACAAAAGAAATGGTTTCTACTTACATGTATTAAATGTTGCATATTCTTATACCCTTCCTACATATAAAAAATATTTAGACATCCTTTATTGAAGTAAAAGATACCATAACGATAAAAACAAAACATTGGGCGCCTGGGTGGCTCAGTTGGTTAAGCGACTGCCTTCAGCTCAGGTCATGATCCTGGAGTCCCGGGATCGAGTCCCGCATCAGGCTCCCAGCTCCACGGGGAGTCTGCTTCTCCCTCTGACCTTCTCCTCGCTCATGCTCTCTCTCACTGTCTCTCTCTCTCTCAAATAAATAAATAAAATGTTTAAAAAAAAAAAAAAAACACAAAACAAAACATTAAGGATCCTGCCCCACTCAGTTGGTAAAGCATGTGACTCTGATCTCAGGGTTTTGAGTTCAAACTCCATAGTGGGCATAGAGTTTATGGTTATTTTAAATTTAAAAAAAAAAATCAATTTTAAAAAAAGAAACTCGGTAGTAAAAGGCAAGGCACGGGAGAAAGAAGTAAAATCTAAGGAGAAAACTGAAAAGTTAACTGAACAACAGAAATCATTTTGAGCTTTTCAGTCGTCAGTGGCAAGGAAAAAATTTGTTGGGTTACACAGAAGTCATGATCTGTGCTCAAAATGTAGTCCAGAGATTCTTAGAGGTTCCCAAGACTTTTTCAGGGTTCTTGAAATCAAAACTGCTTCCGTGATGTTATTGGCCTTTTCACTCTTATTTCTTCAGACATGCATAGTGGTCTCCCAGGGTTATGTATGTGTAATGTTGCAAAATTCAATTTCAGACTAAATGCAGAGGCAGATCTGAGAATCTAGCGGTCTATTAAATCAAATGCTAAGGGGACTTGCAAAAAAAATGTATAGCAATGCTACTCTTTTCAATGTGTTTTTTTCTGTTGTTGTTTTGGAAAATATACCTATTTCCATTTTTAAAAAGTAATTTATGTAAAATGTAATGGGTTTTTTTAATGAATTAATAAATATTTTTAAAATTTCTGTTACAAGTTCCCATATGAAAGATAGCAAGAGGTATAAGCCCCATAATCAGAAATTCTCTGGACTCCTCAATAATTTTTTTTTTAAAGATTTTATTTATTTATTTGACAGAGATCACAAGTAGGCAGAGAGGCAGGCAGAGAGAGGAGGAAGCAGGCACCTGCCTGAGCAGAGTCCGATGTGGGGCTCAATCCCAGGACCCTGGGATCATGACCTGAGCTGAAGGCAGAGGCTTTAACCCACTGAGCCACCCAGGCGCCCCTCCTCAATAATTGTTAAGAGGTATAATAGCATCCTAAGACCAAACAGTTTAAGAATCACTGATCTAGGGTGCCTGGGTGCTTGGCAGGGAGCCTGCTTCCTCCTCTCTCTCTGCCTGCCTTTCTGCCTACTTGTGATCTCTGTCTGTCACATAAATAAATAAAAATCTCTAAAAAAAAAAAAAAGAATCACTGATCTAGATAGAAGAGGCATGGCACTTCAGAAGAAGAAATTATTTCCCGATCACAACAAAGAGCTTACAAGGATTTTTATATAACTAACGTGAGTAGTAGACAAGAGATAAAATTGCCAGAAAAATAGAGGGCTATATTTGAGACATACATATTTATACCAAAAAAATTATTCACTGTTTTTCTGATATTCAAATTTACCTAAGTGTCCTGCTTTTAGGTTTTGGGGTTTTTTGTTTTTTGTTAAATCTGTCAACCCCAGCAAGACATTTGTGAAATGTGGAAGGAAGAAAGAAAAAAGGAAATAGTGGGGAGCCTGCCTGGGGGGCTCAGTCAGTGGTGTATGCAACTCTTAATCTCAGGGTTGTGAGTTCAAGCCCCACAGTGGGTATAGAGATTACTTGAAAATAAAATCTTAAAAAAATTTAAAAATAGGAGACTTAAAAAAAAAAGAAAAAAGGAAATAATGAAAACTGTAAGACTCACAATAAATTCCTGGTTTTCCATTATTTCTTCTGAAATTATACACCAGTCAGGTCCAAAAAATAATGGTGCTTATTCAATTATTTATACAACCTAAAATGAAAATAGACAAAGAATATTGAACCCTGATGAAAAGAGTATCAAATATGACTGTTTCCCACAAACTCTTGACACAGAAATCTAAGAGTTCTAAGACTATGTGATTACCAAATCATCTGATACTAATTACAAAATAAAAGAGTGATCCCACCTGGTGGAAAAAGAATTTTCCAAGTAAAAAGAGAGCCAAGTAAAATGTATAAAATAATTAGTAGTATGCTAAGTTTTTTTCCAAGTGCCAAACCATGGATCAGAAAATGATCCCTCTTCCCCCAACATTTGAGTTTCTTATACAGAGCTTCAACTTTCCATTTTCTGAATTACTATGGCCACCACAAGATGGCCCCCTTATGTTCTTAATGTTCCCTTTTATATCTTAAAGTCAAGAAAATCACAGTATCCAGGATCTAATACACAAATTTCCTCTGTAAGGAATAATCTTTTCACTATCACTACAGTAAGGACTGTATTTATCCTATCCTACTGGATAAAACTGTTACTGTGGGCAAATTTGGAAATCTAAAATTACTGATGGTAAATTGAAGAAGTAAATAGAGATGCCAAAGAAACCTTTTTTTCTAAAGGAGTGGTTCCAAAGGTATGATCCCTGGACCAACAGCATCAGCATCACCTGGTAAGTAGTTAGAAATTCAAGCTTGTGGGTCCTACCCTTGACCTTTTAAATCAGAAGATCTGAGGTTGGACCCAGTGCTTCGTTTTAACATGCCCTGCAGGTGATAGGGATACATGCTCAAGTTTGAGAACACAGGGCTAAAGACCTAGGATGATTAAATAAAACTATTATTTGCAATTCTGGATTCAATTCCCTCTTCATACATATAAGATAAACCACATACATATTATTTATAAATTACATGTATTTATTTAGTACTTGCTTTAGTATTTGCCAGACATTGTTGGGTTGAGGTATTAAAATGAACAAATACTATTTCTAACCAAGGAATTTCCAGGACAGCAGGTTGATAAACAGTAATTGCAATAAAACATGTCAGAAATAAGCACAGCAGGGGCACCCAACTGGGTCTATGGCATCAAATAAGGTTTCCGGAGAACATAAATATTTAAGCTATAAGATGAAATAACCATAACATAATATATACAAGCGCCTGTAAAAGACAGAGCAAGGCATGACCAAGGAACTCAGTACAATTAAGGGGTCTATTTAAGACAGTGAACAGTGAGGGGTGCCTGGGTGGCTCAGTGGGTTAAGCCACTGCCTTCGGCTCAGGTCATGATCTCAGAGTTCTGGGATCGAGTCCCGCATCAGGCTCAGCAAGGAGCCTGCTTCCCTCTCTCTCTCTCTCTCTCTCTCTCTGCCTGCCTCTCTGTCTACTTGTGATCTCTGTCTGTCAAATAAATAAATAAATAAATCTTTAAAAAAAAAAAGACAGTGAACAGTGAGAGAGAAGACTGAAAAAAATGAGCAATAATTTTAGAGTCAGAGGAGCTTCTATGCTATGCTGAGCTGTATGAACTTTATTCTATAGAAGTGCGAAGGGTACAGTTTTAAGAATAAGATTACATAATCTGATTTGTGTTTTACAAAGATTGCACTGGTTGCTGAGATAGGAGAGATAAAGGATTAGGCAAATGAGATATGAATACTTGACCCATAACACAGTTCACAGGACAGGACACAGGCCTAAAGAGAGAGGCACTGCCTTCCAGAGATAAAACTCCCATATCCCTCTACTCAAGCCCAAAGGAACTGCTAAATGCCTAATGAATGCCAAGAAAATAACAAAGGTCCAGAGAAATACATCATTCACTACTGCTTTTAGAGCAACTTGCTCCCAACACTGAATGTGTTGGACATTTTACATCTGTATGAGATTACATAGTGTAAGCACGGTGCTTGGCATGGGGCAGTTATTGATAGGAGATCTCTTTAATAAGTTATCATTTATTCAGTGTAACTTTATGTTGGACACTTAACATGCTTTAAATGCTCACAACTTTATGGTATAGATACTATTTTTTACATTTATTTTACAAGAAAGGAAACTAAGGTACATAATAGTAAGTAATTTGCTCAAGAACACAAAATAAGTAAATGGCAGATTCAGAATTCAAACTAAGTAGCCTAGAGGCCCCTGGCTGGCTCAGTCTGCAGAGCATGCAACTCTTGATTTCCAGGCCATGAGTTCAAGCTCCATGAAGGGCATAGAGTTTTCTTTTTTAAAAAAAAGAAGAAGATGAATGAGAACTTTTTAAAACTAAGTAGTCTAAATTCTGGTGCTCCTACTCACAAATATGACATGACTATTTATGAGTACCTAGTATGTCAGGGAAAAATTGGACTATATTATATACATATTTGTCAATCTCAGAATCCTGGAGTAAATATTATCACCACAAAATACAGATGAGTAATCCAGTGTTTACTAATTTAAGTTTACTTATAATCTATTTAGGAACTGCAAGATAAATTCCCCATTGTTTTCCTAAGCTAGAGATAATACTTCAGGACTTAACAATTTAAAAGGAACTGTGAAGATCCATACCCTCATAAGTGGTAAATTAGATTATAACAAAACAAAGACTAGCTTTTAAAAAAAGGCTAACTTCATTTTTAAATATTTAGAAGAAGCCTAATTTCCTACATTCGAGGTAGAGTCAACAGCCCTTTTTTTTTTACATTAAATAGGAAAAACGGCATTAGCTAACAAATGATGTATTTAAGTGAAGTGCAAATATAAAAAAAATTTCTGAGTCTTCATCTAGCCACATCAAGTGTTGCTGACCCACCTCCAACATGTGAAAGTTTAATGTACAAAGTTTTTAAGGCAGTATGGAGACCTCAGATGATCTGGTAATTATATAACCACAAACATGCACACATACCCCCCCCAACATATATATTCCCATACGTCCTTACGTTGCTTTATACATTCATATATAAAATTCGGTGTTCTCAATAATATATAAGCCATTCTTCCTTTTAACTACGAGATGTTTTTGCTCTTTTTGTTTGGGAACAAGCAGGAGGACCTTTAGAATCTCTAAACGGTTCATAGATTTAAAAGTTCCAGAGTCTCCAACCCAAGATCCTGTTAAGAAGCCATTCATCCAAAATAAGACAAGCCCACATTTCATTTGCCGAAATAATTACCATGATAATATGTAACCAAATGGCACAGAGACTTAACCCTCTGTCAGTCCTAAATGCAAAAACGAAAACCCTCTCTGGTCTTTACACTTATGCTGGAACTACAAAGCAGAGGCTGGGAAAAGCGGTAAAGACGGCACAATTTAACAGAGATTCCGAGCAGGCTGTGACTGTCACTATCCAAACCTGGTTCCATAAGCACCAGCAACGGTCCGCTTCCGGCGGAATAGATTCTGTCAACCGTTTGCCCTAAATTGCGACGCCGCCTCTCGCTCAAATCCCTTTCCCTAACCACCTTCACCCGGGGGAAACAACTAACTTTACCTGTCCATAAAATCCACTTTCGAATTTCCCCGGCGAAAGTCTCTGACGTCATTAAACCGGGACCACACCAGATCAGGACCCACCTCTCAGCCCGCCCACCAGAACTGGCGTTTTCAAACCGCCAATCAAACTTTTCATTGTCTGCCAGCCTCTTTGGCCAGCCGGGTAATCCGACGCACCGCCCTCTGCGCCAGCTCACGCCTGTGACGTCAACGACGGACGCACAGTCTCCGCGCTCGTCTTTTCCAAGGCGTACCGGAGAACCGTGTCGCTCACCCTATGACGCGGAAATCAGGACTATAAGGATCTGGAGGCGACAAAGGTGAAGGACGGAATCACCGGCCCCGTATTTTGGGAATTGAACCGAGTAAGTTTCAAGTAGACCGTAGATAGTGTCCCAAAGGTTGACTGAGGTTTCAGTTCCTCTGAGCCCTTTTTAACCCAGTTCATTCTGTCATCTTTCGTCCCTTTTACTTCGTCCCCTCCCACAAACCCATCAGTTTGCTTGGCCTAGTTCTTTTTGCGCACGCGCAAAAGTCCTTTGGCAGCCCTTGTAATTCCAGTTTTCAGAGGTTGGGGGCGCGTGTTGTCCGGCGATGGGAGATTGGAGGCCCGCCCGGCTTTTGGCGGCCCCTTTGGGAAAGGATGGGTGCCCAGGTCGGCCACAGGCCAGGGTGAAATTACCTTCGTTGATCTGAGCCTTGGCGGCCAAAAGATAGCGAATGTGAGGACTTGTTTTACAGTTAGTCATTTTCTTTTTCAGGATTCTAGTTTTTGTCATCAGAGAATCGAAAATCCAGGTACGGAAGGGAGCTAACAAATTTTAAGTGTCAAGTGGAGTGTACTGAGCGCCCCCAAAAACGTGCCTGAGCGAAAATGGATAAGGAGACAAGTTAGGGGAGACATGGTGGTGGAAAGCTCCATGTAAGATGCTATTTCACGTGGGCCTTGAAAATTGAATAGGGGTTTTTAAGGCAAGAAAGACAAGACTAATTCAAAAAAGCAAAGGCACACAGGCAAGGGTGTTCTGGTACCGTTGAATGGTCAGCCATGACTAGAACAATGACTTAACGTTTTTACACATCATTTCCTCTAAAAATGATGAAGGCTGTGGATGAGCTTCCCAGGAAGATGCATACACATGTCAAGACATTTTACATGTAATTTCGTTGGGAAATTGTGAAACACCTTGAAACGGCCAAAAAAGGAAATACTGGATATCTTGTCTAGCTCACTCTTCCAGGTTATCTCTTTCATTGTCTTTGAGTTACTTTACATTTGTGTAAGTTGTGGGAAATGATTATAATGGAAAGTAGTCTTGCAATTAATTAATTAATTTTGCAGTTATTGCTCTAACCAGTTTTGCACCTATTAACGAATTTCTTCCAGTGTTGTTGATAGTTTTTTAATGGAATATTTTTTAAATTATTAATTATTTATTTTAACTAGGCCTCACACCCATTTTGGGTCTTGAACTCACCGCCCTGGGACTGAGTCTCATGT